ACGGATATGTACCACGCTAAATGATCGATTAATCACGGATTGTCGATCTCTGTGATTTATTCAAAATATTAAACACGTTCCATGGCAACACGATTTCTTAAACATATTACCATGGCAACGCAGTTCATTAAACACAGCTTCAGTAATTTGAGACATGTCTGGCCTGTCAATTGTATTAACTGTCAACAGTTATTTTCGAATTTTGTATCAGAATATTCGTTTGTATCAGAAATCTTCATTAAAAATATATGCGAAAAGTAGACGAAAGTGAAATCGAAGAGAATGTTCTGGAACTTGCATCTCCAAGAAGTGTAAAAATGAAGCATCCATCTTTGAGAACAATTTATTTATTCTGCGCTAAGCATGGCAATAAACGTGAAACAAAGGTTAGTAAGCAATGGACTGGACTCATCTACAACCCATATCACTTAAACGTGTCTCGCTGGTTGCATGCAGTTGCATGTATTATGTTCTCAATTCCCATTCCTTTCGAATTATTTTGTAGGTTAGAACGAATTGCAGGTATGTTAATGTAATTTTCGGAGTTCGTAGAAAAATCATAGTATGTAACGCGTTTATAAACTCTTCTAGACACTCGTTTATTAAACACTCGCTCCGCTCTGCTCCGCTCTGCTCCGCTCTGCTCCGCTCTGCTCCGCTCGTGCTTAAACTACTCGTTACTAATAGGACGTTTATAACACTTGTTACATAATATACTATTGTGGTCGTAGGAAAAATAGTGTACAAACTCGTTGGAAAGTGCATTTCCTGCGCTCGTTTCGTTTCCGCACTCGCCGCTCTGCGGCTCGTGCTAAACGTCCACTCGCGCGAAATATGTCACTTTCCACACTAGTTATGTAATATACTATTGTCGATCATGTTTTCGTTTTCCTTCTAGTACAATAGGGAAACATGGCTTACCTAGCTGATACATTCCTATCAGAAATAAATGGAACTAGAGGTTGTGCCCTTACACCCATAACCAAATGGAAATGTTTTTGAGATGCTCAGGTATATGTATGAATGAAAATTAATTTGGATAAAATAAAATTAAGCACAATATTTAAGAAGGCACGTTGATGTTATGATGTTAATCGAAGAAAAAAAGAGGGACGTATTACGCGCAAAAAGTTTTACATATTTGATTCGAAGCATTTTGAATTTCATGTTCATTTTTGATTGTTGAGGACGATGAGATGGAAATCAAATGTGCCAAACTGACATGTCAGCTTCGACGATGGCTTAGGCTCGAAGCGTTCTGCTACGCATTTTGTTGAAGCATATACTACGGCCTAAAATCAAATACTATAAACAGTATAGTAAATACTTCGAAGTTGAGCGAATCCTATCGGAACCGACTAGATGCTTTGTGAAAAAGTGAATACTTCGAAGTAGATCTTCTAATTTGTAGCATTAGCATTTACTTCGTTTTTATCTGATGTGGTTTTTATCCATACCACTCAATGTTGAAGATAGACTGATAGATCAAATCACACTACTACTCTCGATACCCGTTACATTGATTCATAATAATAATATATACGAATACACTCTTATCACGGCTTGCATACAGGGCCTTCTCGGGGACGCTAACATATACAAGGTGCTCTGATTGAATTATACTTCAGGGACATAAGGGATTAACTAATCTGGCTATAGTTTATCCTTCATTTCGGAAGGTACTTGTGCACAATAATCTCAAATGAAATTCTGTTATCAAAGAAGTGTAACGTATTATCTTCAATAGGATTACAAATTGCATAAAGCATCCCACAGACACAGACGACTAACATAGTGGCGCATCGAGATAAGCAGTGAGTCAAGAAGCAGGGAGCAGTGGTACGTGGATTCATAATTTTATCAGTTGCAAAAATGAATCCTGAGAGTAAGGAAGAAATGATGTTGTTGGGCCGTTATAGGTTACGACCTATAGGCAAGGGGGACCACTTCTAGGAACCCTCGTGGGTGCTCATGACTTTCGAACTGTTAAAAGACGAAAAGAGGAATGCACAAACAACGATCATACACAATCTCTAAAAATTCGAGAAGAACATGCATATACCCTATACCTACCTTCTTTCGTTTTCTACCCTGCCATGCACGATGTTTATACAGTCTGTCCAAGATAAGGTTGAACAGCATGGGGATCTCGAAAACGGTAGGAGATACGAATTAAGTCGGTTAAATGGAGAAAAAGTTGCGCATTCGGAGGCTCATATCAAGAGCTCTCGAAAAATTTTTCAAAATCATTTTTAGTTTTTTAGTTATATCGAAAAAAGTGAATTTTTGGAATATCTCTTTTATTTTTTTTCTCCGTCATTATTAGAGATACAGAAAAACTGAAAATTTTTTTTCATAGCAACTTTTGATGACGTTTAACGTGGTGATACCAATTTTTCTATGCGACGTTTCGTATTCGTAGAACCATCATCAACTTTTGTTTTTTAAATACGGTCCTGATCATTTTTTCACAGATTCTGAAAGGTTTTTTTATTCTGAATCCAACCATGTATTATACAAGGTGGTTTATGTGTGTTTCGTCCAAGTTTTAACCATCATCAATGTTTTTTCGAAATTCCAAAGGAAAAATGCCATCAATTCTACTCATTTTGAGGGAAAATTAGTCAACACACTAATACCTCATCAACTGGTTTCGATCAACAACCCATTTCATTTTGCGGAAACAATAATTCCATCCATACAAATTCAAAATATGTCAAGCGCTAAAACCAGGCGATGACGAAAGGCGCAGGACATTCTGCGAGTGGTATACCAGGAAGAAAAGTCAACATTTTGCAGATTTCCCGCGAACAATCATCTGGACTGATGAAAGCATGGTCACTAATCATGGTATCCTCGATAGAAAAAATACACATTATTGTTCACGAGAAAATGAACATTTATACATTACAGCGAGACACCAACACCGTTTCGGCTTTAATATGTGGGTTGCAATATTTGGTACACGAATAATTATTGGTCCTTTCATTCACCATGAAACACAGACTTCCTAACGTTATAGAAATTTGCTTGAGAATCATCTTGAGGAAGCTCTGGATGATTTACCGATTGCGGAAGTTCAGAACTGTTGGTTTCAACAAGATGGCGCTCCGGTACATAATTCCAGAGTTCGTGCGTTTTTTTCCAGAAAAATGGATTGGTACACATTCTGCAGTCCCTTAGCCGGCGCGGTCACCTGATTTGAGACAGCTGGATTTTTTTGTACGGGATATATCAAAAACTTTGTACACACAAATAGCTTTGATGATGAAGAAGAACTAATCAGTGTCATCGAAGGATTCAATAGAATAACCCCAGAAATGCTCAGTAATGTCATTTGTTATGAATGTTTCTGAAGGTATTATTGTCAAAGTTAAGTTGTTAAAGTAATTCGTGTAAGAATTCATCAACAATTTTAAGCGCTGCATTGAATGATGTAGTGAAATATTTTTTATTTACTTTCCAGTATTGAATAACTGATCCATCAATGTTTGACACTAAATGATCAGAGATAAATGGAACTGATGGCACTTTTCCTTTGGAAGTTCGAAAAAACATTGATGATGGATACAAATAGGTCGTAACACATTCGAATCACCTTGTATAATACATGGTTGAATTCAAAATAAAAAAACCTTCCAGAATCTGTGAAAAAATTATCAGGACCGTATTTAAAAAACAAAAGTTGATGATGGTTCTACGAATACGAAACGTCGCATACAAAAATCGATATAACCACGTTAAACGTCATCAAAAGTTGCTATAAAAAAGTATTTCCAGTTTTTCTGTATCTCTAATAATAATAAAAAAAATAAAATGGATATTCCAAAAATTCACTTCTTTCGATATAACTAAAATACCAAGAATAATTTTAAAAATTTTCGGAGGCTCTTGATATGAGCCTCCGAATGCGCAACTTTTTCCCCATTTAACCGACTTCGTATCTCCTACCGTTTTCGAGATCCCCATGCTGTTCAACCTTATCTTGGACAGACTGTATATATAATAGGGATGCCCTCTCGTGCGTTCCTTCCTTAGGGGACGGAGCATGAAATTACACTAGAAATTTTTTGACGTTTATAGGTTAAATGACATTTACATTCAACTTCATCATTTCCAGTTCATTCTATGAGTCAATGAATAAAAATCATCTATCAAAAGTTTACCACATAATATTATGTAGGTATACCTACTTGCAAATTCTCAATTTACAAAAACACATGTTGTTACTATACGTTAGTTCTTACATTTCATCACAAACAATGATCATTTTCATATAAACATTATGATATTACACCTACTCATCAGTTTTGACATGAAGAATGACATACGAAAATAAAAAAAATATATATTTTTCGTTTGAGTTAACATACAAAGACTACTATTTAAATGTCAAAACCATCAAAAATCCTCTTTATCCAAGTAATTTCTTAATAAATATTTCATTGTGAAATTTTCCTACCGAATACCACTTTTAGCTTCAATTAATATCCGGGATTTTTTTCTCGAACACGAATATTTAGAAAATTCTTCCTCGTCTTCGACTCTGGAAAATATTCAAAATATTTGTGTTCTCGAAAAAATTTCCGGAAATAATTGAAGCTCTCGTGATATTATAAGTGAAAATTTGCGGGGTCCTTTCCGCTAGAGTTCCTAAATGTACTTGACACTGCTGTATTGACGTCAAAAAATGTCAAAACAGCAGTGTCAAGTACATTTAGGAATTCTACTTTCCGCCACCCCAAGAACACACCCTCTATAATTGTGATAACTTCTTGAATTACGAACAAGAGCAATCAAGTTATACTCTTCATCCTTGTGTTTGATCAATAATAAACAAAGACACAATTGGAATTTCTTTTTAATCGCACAATTACATTCATAAAATCTGACGGTCGCCAGCCATTCGTGACGAGATTAGACTCGAAAAAAGTCTCACAACAAAGGTCTTATTAATATCGCAATATTTCCTACAATTATTAGGGGGGACAAGTATTGCGCAAAAACGGAGGAATACCTCTATCGCGATTCAGTATAAAAGTTGAATTTTTTCGAGGGAAGGATTAAGTTTGTTGACTGGGTCGAACGAAGACAACGTTGAGAAAATGTTCAAGTTTGTGTTATTGTCTGCTTGCGTTTGTGTAGCCGTGGCGGCGCCTAAGCCAGGGTATCTTGGAGGTTATGCTGTCCCTGCTGCTACCAGCTATAGGTAATTTTGGACATTATTAACTGATTTTTGGATTGATATTCATCATACAGGACGCGGAAAGACATTCTGAATTGAGAAATCCTAATCACTAATCTGCAATTGAGGTCTATAAAAATTACAAGTTTCCATCTTTCAAGTTTGAACTCCTTGATTGGGTGAAAGTATTGAAAAGGAATATTCTCAGATATATTTATGAACACAAAATAAATTGATATATACATATATATAACTAGTAGTCTAGTGGGGATGCAGCAATAGTAAATGTGTACTCAGCAATAGTAAATGTGTACTCATTTACGTTTGTCCATGTATATTTCCATCATCAGGGTAGACTACAAAAATTGGAAGTATTTTAATTAATTCACAATATTGAAAAAACTTCATCACTTACACTCATTGAGAATGGTTACTCTGTTGTAAAATTTGTAAAATTGTTGAAAATAACATACTGATGAGACGAAAAACAAGTTAAAAAAAATTATTTAGTTATAATCATGGTTAGATAAGAGGCTACTTATTACCTAATGAATAAGTTTGAATTTTCAAATCCAACGTGGTTGAAACGATTTTAACGAATCTTCTTCTTTTCCTTTGGTTGACATGAGCAGATCGTGAGTCAGAATTCTTAACCCTTATGGTACCTACTGATGTTAGTAATCCTCCAAATCTCCACCCAATGGAACAGAAAAAGGTGGAACATACTAATTAACTCAGCTGGCAGATCATGAAATACAACAGAATATACTGGAAAAGCTTAAATATGAGGAATTTTAAGAAAAAGAATATTTTGTTTTCAAATTCTTATCGTGTGTGTTCAATAGATATACTTAGTTCAATGTTTGTCGTGAAACCGAGGAAAAACTAATATTTTCATCACATGGAGAATGCGAATTCTCAATGTATTCCTTTGGATACAAGGTGTTTTTGAAATAACTGCACATATTCAGCACATTAGTATGATACAGTCTAAGGAATATTGCCATGATATCAGATTTTTTCTAATTCTTCTAACTAACGAGAAATTGCATTCCAAAAATTGAGAAAATACGAGAAAAAAAGCAAGTACGATACTTCAAAACAATTTAAATGATTGAACACCGCCTGATTGTGCCTACCGCATGGAAATTTGAACAGAGGTGACGTCAGATTTGCTACAGTGTAGAACTTTTGATGGAAAAAGGAGTCTAGTCTCAAATGTTATTTTGATCCCTAAATTTTTTTATTAGTGCCATTCGATAGTACACGTCGAGCTTTCTCAGTGTTTGAAATATTTGCACTTATTTCAATGCCACACTGTATAGGTATATCCATTTGTTTTGTTTTCATAAATATATCTGAGAATATTCCTTGTCAAAGCTTACTGAATTTTTGAAATCCTTCAGGTTGGCATTATTAGATAGATTCTGTCTGTAGGTTAATCTAGTAGGTGGTACATCGTGGTACATTCACTATTCCAGATTATTTGGGATTTTTTCATCTCGTCTCTGTGAGATAAAATATATCATTATTATTTCAATATACGTGTCGTGAGGACAAATCAGATGATTTGCCCCAAATTGTCATATCGTTCAAAGATTTTTCCTATCAGAGAGCTCATAAGAAAAATTCACTAGAACATTTCATAACCTACTGAGAAATATTTGGCCTTTTTTATTATTATAATTACCTATATTATTATTTATCTTCATAGTTAATCACATACACTTATGAATTGCACGGTATTTCGGCATGTTCTCTTTGAATTCATTTTACAAAATTAGTAATAAATGTGAAGGGTGATTCACCATAAATGCCCCCCTCCCTCTAGCTTAGTTATTCTTGAACCGATTTCGAAATTTGGAATATCACCTTAAATGATTTTTGATAAAGTTTTTTTCGCTACATCAAAAAATACAGGGTGCTCGGAACAAACGATCTACAGAGTACTATTTGATTTTTTTAAATAAAACACCCTATTTTTCATTGTATTTTTAGATTCTCTCTGAAGAGCTGATTTAATCAATACATCACACTTAGGGTCTAGCGTGAATGATTACAGAAATATAGGGTGTTCAAAAGTGAGATTTTTCAACTTTAGGATTTTATTGTGTCGAAACTATTCATTATTGGTCGAAGTCATGTCAAGTCATGTCCCTATGACTGATTTACTATCTAATTTTGTCAAAGAATACAATTTAAGCGAAACATAAGCAAAATTAACATGTTTTCGAACGTATATGCTTATTTATCTCAAAAACGCTTCGTTTCTGGAAAAGAATTGATGTGCAAAAAAAGCCTCTAAATTGAACGATCTACACAATTTGATCACTGAAAGATGCCAGCGGCGTACTAGGAAAAAGTTTGGAGAAGATTAGGAAGCCTCTACCTCCAAAAACGTATCACCCTGTAGATTTTGAAAATCTTTGGAATGAAATAATTAAACTTTGACCCCCTGTAGCTCCGCTACTGAACGAGATCGGACTAATGTTCATATAAACTTTTTTGATTATAATGATGAGATCTATCTCCCATTTCAGTTTGTGCCTTAAAACCTGAATCACCCTGTACGTGTAGTAAGGACAAATTAGATTATCTGCATCAAAATGTCACTGCGTTCAAAGAATCCTATCAGAGAGCCTAAAAGAAAAATTCACCAACTTGTCAGTGACAATTTGTATTGAAAAAGGTTTGGAAAAGTGTAGTGATTCACACGAGACCAACGAGACGAAACTTTCATAAAGTCTCGTCTCGTCTCGCCGATGAAATATGAAGTCTTGTTTCGAGTCTCGTTTCGCAGACTGGAGTCTCGTCTTGTCTCGCGTCTCGTACGAGAGTCTCGCAAATGTACCGCAATTTCGTCATGCATAATCTTGTTCCAGTCTAGTACGGGATATTTACCTTCACCTACTTTTTAGGTATAATGTAGAAGTAGGAAGAGAAAATTACAACAAAAATGACATTATTTATTGGAAAGTATAAGTACCTAATAGGTACATACATACATCATACATCATACATCATACATCATACATCATACATCATACATCATACATCATACATCATACATCATACATCATACATCATACATCATACATCATACATCATACATCATACATCATACATCATACATCATACATCATACATCATACATCATACATCATACATCATACATCATACATCATACATCATACATCATACATCATACATCATACATCATACATCATACATCATACATCATACATCATACATCATACATCATACATCATACATCATACATCATACATCATACATCATACATCATACATCATACATCATACATCATACATCATACATCATACATCATACATCATACATCATACATCATACATCATACATCATACATCATACATCATACATCATACATCATACATCATACATCATACATCATACATCATACATCATACATCATACATCATACATCATACATCATACATCATACATCATACATCATACATCATACATCATACATCATACATCATACATCATACATCATACATCATACATCATACATCATACATCATACATCATACATCATACATCATACATCATACATCATACATCATACATCATACATCATACATCATACATCATACATCATACATCATACATCATACATCATACATCATACATCATACATCATACATCATACATCATACATCATACATCATACATCATACATCATACATCATACATCATATATCATATATCATACATCATACATCATACATCATACATCATACATCATACATCATACATCATACATCATACATCATACATCATACATCATACATCATACATCATACATCATACATCATACATCATACATCATACATCATATATCATATATCATATATCATATATCATATATCATACATCATACATCATACATCATACATCATACATCATATATCATATATCATACATCATACATCATACATCATACATCATACATCATACATCATACATCATACATCATACATCATACATCATACATCATACATCATACATCATACATCATACATCATACATCATACATCATACATCATACATCATACATCATACATCATACATCATACATCATACATCATACATCATACATCATACATCATACATCATACATCATACATCATACATCATAGATCATACATCATACATCATACATCATACATCTAAACATCTAAACAAGACAAAAAACATAGCATTATATATTCGAAAGTTATGAAAATAAAATAAAAAGTAACACGTATATTCTAAACAACTAAACAAAACAAAAACTTTTTCTAATCCAACATTATTTTTCTTATTTAAGAAATAAGTATCTAAGAAAAAAAACCTTTATCAGTCAGATCAGCCTTCACGATCAGAAATGTTTTTGTTTTTCACCCAGTCGCTAAGACATAAAGTTATTCTTATCTTAGACTATTTAGCACAGAATAACTCATTTATAGATTTTCAGGTAGTCATTCAATTTGCGATATGTCGTTATTGCAGGATTGCCTTTATATCCGCGACGTAAGAGAGAGAATAGTCCGTTTTTTTTCACGCATTACGTCGTTTTACAACAATCATGGATTGTGTTTTTATAGTATTCATGAATGATATATTTTGTCTCTCTGTGCTAAATAGTCTGATTTTTTTCTAAATATGTTGTATTATGAATGAAATTCTCAAGTTTGCAGTCGGCTCGCAGAAATATTTACCTGCGGGACTCTCGCACGAGACACGAGAAGTCTTGCACGAGACTCGAGACGAGACAAATAAAAGTCTCGTCTCGTCTTGTCCGAGTCTCGTCTCGAGTCTTGTCTCGAAAACGAGACGAGACCATGCGAGACTCTTGAAAACTATACTCTCGCGGGCACCACTAGGAAAGAGGAATGAAAGTATATAGAAAAAATATCGAATTTTCACTTATCTTTGGACGTTTCAGGAACGAATCTGCTCCCATTTTTAACGGAACGTCCAAAGATAAGTGAAAGTCTGATATTTTTTCTATATACCTTCATTTCTCTTCCCCAAACTTTTTTCAATACAAATTGTAATTGACAAGCTAGTGAATTTTTCTCTAATGGGATAATTCTTTAAACGCACTTACATTTTAGGGCAAATCACTTACTACACGTATGTTGAAATAATATTCATATTTTTATTTTATAGAAACAAGGAGAGAAAATCTCAAAAAATCTGGAATTATGAATGTAGCACCATTTCGATTAACATACAGAGAGAATCTATTTATTTTCACCCTATATTTTTACTTTATGTTGATAATTAACCTGACTTACTTGCTACAAAAGTACCTACCTTACCGCCTATATCAGTACGATTGTCAAGTGGTTATCGAAGATCTTTCTATCAATCAGCAGTTTTGACCATATTCAAATATAATCATCATGAAGGTTTCATTTCATTTCATTTATTTATACTGCTGCTAAAACAACAGGCTTCAGCCCAATTACAGAATAACAGTTTCATCATCGAAGCGTTGAAGATATCAATTGCATTATTGAAAAACAAATAAGACATCATCTGATCAAGGATATCAAAATTCTGTATAAAAGCCTTGATACTGATGCCCACAACTACTGGTACTGGTACTGGTGGGGGACGCTACCACGTCAGCAACTAGTCCCTAATGGGACCTTTTTGCAAACCCCAAGTGTTTTCAATGGCTGATGTGGTTCGCTCAAGAGAGCTGGCTAACATCCTTTTCAGGCTTTTCGGCTGTGTTTTGTAGGCTAGTAATGTACTCACTACCATATGCGCAGTGGCAGGCCTGCTAACTATCCCCGTTAACCCCCGAGACCGAGGTCTACTAAGCAGCTGGCCCGCTCTCACGCTCAGCTGGTAGTTTTTCCACACCCACCTACATACACCGTCCTACTTCTTCTCTGATGCTCACAACCACATCATCATATCTTTCTGCGTGTTCTGTGTAGACTTTGTTACTAACTCCATGCGCCACTTTAGGAGCAGCACTGTTAATTGGAACGCAACAACGAATCGTGCAGGACTATCCCCAGCTGATGCCCACAAACTATTTGTTATATTAGTCTTCAAACTGAACCCAAAAAAAGGAAAATCAAATCCGTGGACACACTGTTTCCATTTTTCAACAACTCAACTCATTTTTCCAGCTCGAGGGTGGATGTCCACACCCCAGTCATCAAAACTTATGCAGCTCCTGCTCTATTGGCTGCCCCCGTATACTCGAAGGCCATAGTGGCAGCCCCAGCAGTCAGCTATCACTCCGCCCCTGTGATCTCAGGATACGGATTAGGACACGGATTGGGACACGGATTAGGACACGGATTGGGACACGACTTGTCCTACGCTGGATACGGATACGGCGGTGGCCATGAGATCGGTTTGGGACACGGTTACGGATCGGGACATGGTTATGGATTGGGACATGGTTATGGTCTGGGATTGGGACACAGCTCAGGTTATGGATACGGACACGGATGGTGAAATGGTCGATCGACCAGTTGAATATTGTGGCCAAAAGATGTTCGATACTTTTTGTATATTACGAAAATGTATATATTATTATATTTTGTACACCTGAAAAGATAAGACAATTAAACTCATGAAACTTCAGTATACTGAACAAGTTTGTGTGTATTCCTTTCACAGCTAAACCTGAGCTATACCAAGACATACATAATAGTTATTCATATACCAAGATAGCAAAGAATATCATTATTACCCAGGGCCCGTGGTAATACTATTCGTTACTACCAAGGTATATATTATATTTTTCTCACCACTAGCAATATATTTCAATCATTATAGTTCTGTGAAACTGAAATGTAGACCTATGTCACTATGTCAATTCTAATTAAAATCTAATCACCATTACAGCATATGCATGACGTCGTTATTGATAAATACCTACTAGATTCGTGTGCCATTCCTTTGAATATGGCATAAGAACAGTGTTAATTATAACAAAGGTGGCTATGTCTTTATTGACTAGTGGTTCATAATATGATGAAAACAACTTTGGTAGTAAAAACATACTTCACGCCTTCAAAAGGAGTGAATAATGGTAGGTTCTATTGTCACGATAGGAACCAAAAATATTCATAGCCACTATTCAAAATTATATTGATTCAAGATTCATTAATAAAAGTTCATTATTCATTTTATCGTATAACATTCGATTAAAGGAAACGTGTATAATGTTTCACTCACGTTGGCAGCTCATTCAACCGGAATGAAATACCCGCATATGGAGTAAAACGCTGACTACATCAAAATATTCTAAATAAATATCGAACAGCCGATAAGGCAAGGCATCAGTTTGGATCTGATCAGCTAACCTTCACTATGGTTCATCCCCTGCACCTGCTAGAGATTATTTTGTAAGTACTACTGTCACAATCGTTATTTTGTCAAACTATTAAATGTTTCTTTTCATTGCGAAGTCTGATGTATGTACGTTTGCATTGAATCTCGTTTGTTTAAATCACTAATGAAACTAATTTCTTTCAATAAACTGTAGCTTTATAACGAACAACTGTTTTGATTTCTCGGCCTCCCAAGCGAGTTCACCCCCGAGTCACCACCCTGTAGCCATGGGTCGTGACATTATGGTGGAGGCGCCGAGGTCGATAAATCAGATTGAATGATTTGAAAAAATTTTAGATAATTTCTTGCTCCGTTCTCACCATCACTAGAATGACTTGTATGACTATCAGCCAGATAAATTTCAATTATTTTCGAGGATGGCGTTAAAGAATAGACCAGTTATAATCTATTAGCATAATTATATTCAATATATTTAGTTGAGCTGTACCTTTGTACTCAATTTTTGATTTTTTTGTATACATGCATAAAGTACGTGAACAAGAGAAAACTATCCCAGTATTAACTCAAAACGTATAGATCGAGAGTCGTGTCTCTTCATTTTGGCAAGCCTTTGGCTGCAGGGACCAACTCTTCGAGATCTACCCACGTGCGAGTTAAACTTCCGATTAAGAATGTATTTCCTCTCAATTTAGTGAGACTTTGTCTTGCGGGGAAAACATTCCTTAAGGGTACGCACCATTATCGTGTGGTTCCTAAGTCGTGAAGCAGGGGTAATTTTTGAATGGTTTAGGTAATTTTTGCATGTTAATGGAATACGTATCGTATATTCATGGGGCGTGTGAAAGCAAATAAGGAACGCAGGGAAAAACGACGTATGAAAAGGGTTATAGATATATCAGGAATAGTTGAGGATAGAATAAATATTGAAACTGGTATCCCCCTTACCCCTAGAGCTTTCAGAATAGGAGATGATATTCCAGAATTAAGAATATTAGAGAGTAGCACAGTGCCAAATAAAACAAATATAGCTAAAGATTTTCCAATATGGTGGGATATAATTGAAGATAGGATAGATGGAAAAACTGGTCTACCATTAACGCCTAGAACGGAAATAATTTTTGATAAAGTGCCACAATTCAATTTTGATGAAATAGTGAGTAGGAGAACTGTTGTTTCTGACACTGAAATATCATCAAAAATTACACAGTTGTAGGAAAAGGTATTTCTGAAAAGAAGTGACCCTTGCACATCCTTTCTTTGACACGCTGTAGTTAGAAACTCATATAGGTGTTAACTGTAGGCGAACCAAATCGTTAGATAAATTGTAGTATTATTCCTGCAATAACATTATTTCGTTACTTCGATGTGGTTTGTTTAATTATTGTCCGTCCTTTTTGTGCCAGAACGCTTTCCGAAAGTCGTTTTCAATTGGCAGTCAATAAGGTCTATGATTTTTTTTTTGTAATTCATTTTACACGTATATCAAAGACTTGGTTCACATTTGCATTGGCACACAACTCAAATATCTGATTTTTTTCTATTTGGACACTAAATTTATCCAACCGAGACAATACACAGGGTGTTTTCAAACTACAGTAGGTACGAAACTTCAGAGAGTGATTCGTCAGGTCTTTAAAAAAAAAAAAATTCGTACCGTAGTAAGGAATCATGAAAGAAAAGAAAGTGAGGGACGTATTATTCCAAAATTTAACAGTGTCCAGCTTCAACTCAATATCCACATCATTTTTCGGAGTTGTATAAAAGATTCAAATAATGCATGTCAGTTCCTGATGAGGATCCATTTTCAAGACGAAAAGCTTCGATGATGTTTTCATGAAAACGAAGAATATTTGCTATGAACAATGTTTCAGCCACTCTTCAAAAATGCACATAATATGCGGTTTCCATTATTGACTTTGTCATAAAAATTGGTTGAAATGTATCGACACCAGTTTTAAAATTATAGGAATTGAAAAAGAGAAATCAAAGATACCTAATAACATTGCTTCCTGTTCACTCTTGATACAGATTGCCGAAAAATTTGTTGATTTTCTCTTGTTATCTACCTCTGCCGTTTTGATTAATCAGACGTATGTCATTGTGGGAATCACTTTGGATTTTTTCTCTTTTCGAATATTTCCCTCACACTGTATATGAATGATTAATTTCTCCATATAGTTTCGAACAACTCAGAACGTTCAAAAGTATAACTTAAAATAATATACATGGAGTAGCTCCACTATTTATTTCAACTGTTAAAGTGACCCTCATTATATCTCAGTTAAAAATTTATGCTAATTTTCGTGGTGATTATATGACAATGAAGTATTTGGCATAGTGGACACTTTTATTTACCATTGGAGTGCGATGTTGAGGGGTACAAAAAAGTTTGTTTTCTGCAATCGGCTCAAAAGTCGTCCATTTTGTTCCAAAATTAGATCTTGAAGTTGACGTTTCTCTTACTGACACAATTAAATGATTAGTATGTATGTTGCTGGGCAACACTTTCAGTGTCTAGGAGCTGAAGTTGAAGTTCAGCTCCTAGGAACTAAAAACGTGTCTGATGACAGCTGATATGATAGCTTCTTTGACACTGACACGCCCAAGTAACTCGAAATAGTGGTATTTTTACTCATATTTTATTATAATATCGCTCGTCAAACAAAGTGTCACATTTGATCCAAATAAAACAATGTACTATCATTTGGCTATTCTTCCGAGTTTGAATAAGACAAAAGACACGATATACTCATCCTTCCCCTTCACAGGGGTGGAAAACTGTTTTTTCCCAAAACATGTTCATGTGAACCAAGTCAAATATTGGGTGTGGTCCAAAATTCATGATTTTCGTAGGTGTATGCATTTTTTTTATTCGTAGAACGAATATGACGTGATATGTATTAGAGATAATGAGTAATATCATTGTCTTCATGAAGTCGAAGGTAATATATGTCGAGGCTGATTATGTATTAGGAAGTAAAGATTTTAGGTTTTAGGTGGTTTTTACTCAGACTTATCGAGGCGGTGTGTTATTTCGTGTAATGTCAAAACTAGGAATAACAAGTGGATTTTGAACTGTATTTACAAAAAGAGTTAACAAAAACCAAGTGGACAAGTTGCAACTAATCTCAAAACTGTCAGAAACTAACAATAGTATACGACAGATTTCAGGGTCCAATTTGAGACATTGCAAACCCTATCATGATAAGTTATGTTACATTCCAAGATTTTCTGCTGATTCCATACAAGGTCCAGCTTGCGCTATTGAACTTTACAAGGGCACAAGTGTGGATGAGTTGAGTCATCACTGTCCAATGCAATGTCACAAATCGACCACCACAATAATTCAAGAAATTTCAGAGGAAGTATACGTTCTAACACACCCAAAGCCAATAACAAAAATTAATTGTTCACAAAAAACATTCGAACTTCCTCAAGAAGCATATAACTTTCCAGGATCCACAAAAATCAATGTACCTTGCAACTGCAGATTAGTGATAGAAAAGGATGAGATTATACCAAAAAGATTTCCGTGCATGCGTGATCAACAAAGTGAGATAGTTGCAACACATATGATACCAGCGGCATGGTCAAACTTGAAATCATTTATATTAAATCCAAAAAGGCTGAATCATCCACGATATTCAAATTTTTCGGAAGGATTAAATCGAAACTGGACATTAACGGTCCCGCATTTGAATCTGACATCTGCAGGTGACGATATCAAAGAAATAATAGACAGTGTTAGGGAAAGAGTTAGTTACATTTATCCTAGTAGTTATAGCCATAAAAATGACACGTTATTTTTGATTTGGAACTCCATTTTATCAATAATATTAGGGTATATCATATTCCGAAGGCAAAATTTAGCGTTAGTACCAAACCTAGCAAATCTAGTGAGAGCGGAAAATGGAACTTTGATTCAACATGACATTCTTTTAGGATTAGTTTGTGCGGCATTTGGTATATTTATGGCGTATATATCAGTAAAATGTTTATTATTACTGATGAAGAGAAAGAAGAATAATAATAGAGATGCGACAGAAAAACCCTCCCCTTCCCAAAGGAACATTCCTCTTAAGAATATTCCTCAAATACCGACAGAAATCCCCTCGCCAGATAATACGAACTGTAAAAGAAGTTATACATTGGAGGTTGGTACAGGATCATTGTATATACCTCCGGGACAAAGTATTAGATGTTCCTTGCATAGTGTGATAGATGATAGAGATAAAGACGAGTATGAAAGCGAATAATTGAAGAAATTGAAAAGGCCATGTATTAAAAGATTATGAGAGA